GGCAGGTCCCTTTTCCTGTGTCTTAATTTCCTTACCCCTAAAGTAGAAATTAATGATATTTAACTTCCTTTCTAAATTGTCCCAAGCCTCACTGTGATTAAATGTGCTGTGTATGTGCTGAGGAGTATTATTATAGCATAAAGCTGTAATGAAAATGAAAACAATCAAAGAGGCACTGGAAAAACATGTCTTTGAGACAGTGGGGCTGGCTGGGCTCTTGGAAGAGCTTTATTCCTCTGCAGGCAGATGTCAGCGGATACCAACAGCAGCTTGAATAACACGAGCCCAAGTCCCTGGTGTAGAAATGGCTCCAACAAATCCCAGCGGAGCAGCGTCTCATGCAGAAAGAGCAGGATTGTGCTTGCACACACCCGTAAATTATCCCATCTGAGTGAGCTGGGTGTTCTGGTATTCTCATTGTTTGGAAATTTGTTGTTGGGAGAATATTAACAACCTCGCAGCACATAGTTCTCTGCTGTGTCTAGGTGGATTGCCAGTCCCTTGAGGCAGGGGCTGTCTGGGTTTGCCTTCCACACAGCCAAACACATTGTCAGCACTCAATTAGATGTGGATATATGGTTTCATGCTGACTCAGAGCTCAAAGATAGCCACTATTTTTTTCTTGTTGAGCATCCCTGCTTAGAGCAAGTGAGCTATTTTTACCGGAACCTTTCTAACATTTTTCCTGATAGGAAAAAATAAATCCTGCATGCTTGAAGTCAAAACCAAAAGAAGGGAGCTTTTCCCGGAGGTGTCTGTAATGTTCTCAGCCTTCCAGTAAGGGAGAAGTGCAGTCCCTGCGGGTGTCAGTGTCAATGCCTCTTCCCTCAGGGTTACACTACGTGGGTGACCTGGGAGCAGGAGAGCCCCCCTCGGAGACACAAGCAGCCGATCAGTCCACGTAAGAAAAGAGCAACGGAGACAGAGGCAGCAGTGTCTTAGGAATCAAGGAGTGCAGAGCTCATGGGTCAGATCCCTTACAGGCATCAATTGCAGAGCAAAGTAGGTAAATTTGTATTTGGAGGGAAAAGGAGAGAAAAATAACAGCGACCCAGTCTAGTTCCAGTAGGCAGAAGCATTCTGGGGCTGTTAGCTCAAAGGTCTGTGCTTTCTCTTTCTCCCCTCATCTCCTTTGCTTCCACTTCTGGGCTTTACTTCCCCGGTGGTTACAGACAGCTCTTCACAGGGGAAGGCGCTGGCTGAGTGGCAGCTCCCTGCCTGCAGTCCCTGGGAGATGTCTGAAGCACACGAAGTACGCAAAGAGGCAGGGGAGGATGCTTTCCATATCCACTGTGTGCTTGGCAGAGGAGAGGGAAGGGAGTGTAAGATAGATGGTTTTTAGAGCTATGCATTTTTGTAATTCCAGCTGTGCACAGAAAAAAGCTGGGCAGTGCTGGCTATGAAGGTGCTCGTGCACCTGTACAGGGTGGGACAGGCATTCAGAGGCAGAAATAGACACCGAGCCGTCCTGTTTGGCAATTACCCTCTTCCTGCATTCTCACCACGGCTGGCATTTTAGTGGCTAAGCCACAAAGGGCGGTATGAAGACAAATGTGATCTCCTTTTGAAAATACCTGTACTTAAAAGAACCTCCCTCCTGAGATGGCATTCGTTATGTGTCACACGGTAATTTGCTCCTGCAGAAATGTATCTCAGCTCCACCCGGCGCTGGGACTGAGCCACTTCTGCTGGCACTGTTGGAGATGGAGCACTAAGAAATAAGCTGCATGGCGTACTTAATGGTGACTGACGTTGCTATACCTACCACAACTGCTCTGAATGCAGTCCCTGCCTTTTCAGTGTCTTATCCCAAATCCCAGTGGATTCCTAACTCTGCCCTGGCTTGCTCTGTACATCTCTTCAAGAGTTGGTAATGTTCTGAGAGGGCTTTAAGTGGAAATGGAAGAGGAGCTGTTGATTAGGAAGAGGCAAATGAAATGCCAGCTTCTGTCACAGTTCTCTCCTAACACAAAAGATTTGTGGCAGGGGGTTGATCCGGAGCAGCAGCTGCTGTGGTGTCACTGGGATGCTCACAGGAGTGGGTGAATACAAGGAGGAGAAAATGCTGTGGGAGAGGCAGAGGAGCCAGCCTGGAAGAGTCTGGCACAAGCAGCAGGCTCCTTTACTGGAGTACACCCCTCTGCATTGTGCTGTGGCCTTCTCTTCCCAGCTGAATGCACAGGTAATTTCCCGTCTTCTGGATAAGATCTGTCCTTCATGGTGTTCACTTGTCTTAGAACCCCAACTCCTGCTCTGGAGTAAGCCAGGATTTCCATCCCATCTGGTAACATGGCCTAGCTTCATTCACCTCCACTCAGCCATTGCAGCCATTGCAGTGACTGTAAAGTCACTTTTTGTTTGTTGTAGAGCTGTGTCTAGTGTTCAGGAGTCTCATCTGTCATTTGCAGGAGTAATTGCAAAAATTGATTCATGGGAAATGCCTGTAACAGGCAGATCCTTTTGACAGATCGCACGGCCATCATATTCTGCATTTATTTGAGTCAATCAATGCTTTGATGCATATTTGGGTCATAAATACTCTGATAGCAATTGCATTTATTATTATGACAGCTGTGTTCTATTATCTATTATTTATTAGGTTCTGTTGTCCTTCCGTTTTACACCTTGTGGAGCTGTCAAGTTGGCTGTTTACTGGTGACAAAGCTCACAGCTCATTTCAGAACAGAACCTTCCAAAAATAAATTTTCCAAAGGGATTTGAGTAACAGCAGGCTATATGCTGTTGGAGAGGCACTGGACGATCTTTTTTGGGTTTGTTTTACTGGAAAGAGCAGGTTTGTGCTTTTTTGCCTACTTTTGCCCAAATTCCAGAATTAGACTTCACATTTATCATCCAGAGGTCATTGAAGCTAATAAGCCGGCTGATTAATGTGAATTTTGGATCACACCCTGTGTGTCTCAGATTTGAATTAATCGGGTTATTCAATATTTGAAATGGTGGGATGCTGACTTGGATGTTTCTAATTTTCCCTTAGAAGCTCTTTTAGCTTTATGTCTTTTTACATCATAAAAACGGCAGGAGATCTGATTGTGAGGCGAATGAATTTCGGTGTCCTTCCAAGGGCAAGGCCAAACTGCAGTAGGCAGAGGCAGAGTCATTTTCTGCTCCTCATTCCCAATAAACAGCCACATACCCTGTGTGCCAGGAGGCTGCACCAGCTTTGCGAGGTGCCAAGCACATTGGTGTTAATTCAGGAAAAGCATTTAACCACGGAGCTGATGACTCTAAAGTGCTTAATATAAGCATGTGCTTAAGTGCCTTGTTGGACTGGGGCCAGTGCAGTTAGACCCTTGCAGTGCTGAGGTTTGTAAGCCAAAATTTGTGCTAGCTTAACAGCAAGATCGTCCGTACTATTACTGTGATGTAAGGCTGCACGTACTTCTTTTTGCATATGAACATTTCTGTGTTTTTATCTGTTTATTTTACTGTAGGAGCAAAAATAGTAAATCCGTAATTCCCACCATAAACATCACAGTGCAAAGTTGATATACACACAATTGCATGGCTTACAAAGTAGATGTAAATGGGTATATATTATTTATAAAGCAGCTTTGACATCTTCATACATTAAAAAGGAAGAGACATTTAGATCATTTCACAGTTGAGCATTCTGCATATTTTTGGGCTATCATGTATCACCATCCATGAAAATTTCATAATTTGTGTCCAAACCACTTTAATTGTATGCATACATTCCAACCAAAGGAGTGTGCAGCCTGCTCTTGCCTTTTTTTTTTTTTTAAGTTTATTTCCCCCCCACCCATTTCCACTCTTAAAATAGATGGCTAAGGTAGGACACTGCCAAAAGCCCACCCTGCCTTCCTGGAACTACCCAACGTGAGTCATAACTCTGTGACCAAAGGTGGGTCCCCAGGTATTCCAGTGTCCCACCCACATCCTCCCAGGTTAGCTGAACCCAAGGCAGGCAGTAAAAGCCAAAATTTATCCTGGGATAACTAAACAGCACTAAAAGCAGTGTAGTTGTTCTCATCCAAATCTCTCATCAAATCTCTAATGCAGACAAAAGCCAAGTATAAATCAGCCTAAAACCTGGCTTATTTCTGCAAAGTTCCACATGAATTGTGAATATGGTGTGAGCACCATGTTTTAGGTGTTTTCAGTGGTGTTACAGGTCTAGGCTGGAGGAGTGAACTCTGAAGCTGAGGCGATTTTGCAGGGGATATTCTACCAGGAGCCTCATTCCTACATGCCAGAAGGTCTTGGGTTAACGCTTGTTGTTTGTTTGTTGTTTGTTTTGTTTTTTTGGTGGGGAAGCCTGGGGGAATGGGAACTCATAGTCTTTCAGTTAAAGACATCCCTGGCCTGTGAGGGAATTGTAGGTCAGAACTGTTTCTTTTAGTGAAGTAGTTGCTCAGGGACGTGTGAAAATACAAATTCCATGCTGGTGAAAGCACCTAAGGAGGAGAACTAGAGCTTTCTGCCTAACTACAGGGCTGGTGCCAGTACGATGAGCCTGGTAGTAAAAACCTTTTCCTTACTGCCTCATGATTGCCTTAATATACTGGTAGGATGGATGAAAGAATTTCAGTTTTTGTGGCCTGTTTCTCTCTGGTTTCTGCTGCAAGGACCAACAAGGAGCCCATGTTTTGCTTTCTGTTTAAAATTCCTTTCAGCCTTCACTTCACCTTCTCAGGGATGTTTGTGCAGAAGCTCTTCATTTATTCTGCCCTGGTTTTGCCAATCCCTGGATTCTGTGCTCACAGCAGACGGTGAAGGTCTGGTGTTTTCAGACATAGCACAAGATCAGTGCCTGAAGTTTCTCTGGGAATGAGAAAGCTGGTTGATTAAGAAGACACTGACTTCTGAAAGCCTATCAGATCGCCTGACTTTGTAAGCCAGGGCTGCAGAACATCTAATTACATGGAACTGCTCTCTAGAGGATTTGGCTTGCAGAAAATTAGTTTTCATGTTCTTGGCCTGATGTTTATTAATGATTTCTTTCTTTTCTCCCTTTGCAGTTTTCATCTGCAGTTTCATGGTTGCGGCGCCCATCTTTGGTTACCTTGGGGACCGTTTCAACAGAAAGATCATCCTCAGCTGTGGGATCTTCTTCTGGTCAGCTGTCACTTTTTCCAGCTCCTTCATCACTGAACAGGTAAGATCTCTGCAAAGGCACTTTGCAGGGTGTCCTGAATTGCTGGACAATATGTTCCTAACAACACCCCGTGACACGGTGCTCGAGTGGAAGGTATCCCTCGGGTGCGTGTTGGACATATGGTGTGTTGTGCTGCCTGGCCTCTTGTGGTTGAAGTGTGATCTGGGTAACTGTTCTTCCCTAACTGTGAAATCTGTTATCCTTTGATCGTGCACATTCATAAAAATAACAAGTGAGACTTAGCGAAACAACAGTTTCTGTTGATAGAAGAGTTTTGTTTTGGGAGAGATTCTCAAGAAACTTTAAAAGGCTTAAAAAAGACTTGAAAACAATCCATGGCTATACAGTGGGTCTCTTGTCCTCTTATATCATAGCAGAAGCCATTGGAGTTTGTTGGGAAGTCTGCTTATGGCATGTGGGATGACAAATGCATCAGTTTGTTTCCTTTCTGTCAAAGGCAGTGGATGATAGCACGGAGATTAGACATAATTTTAGCTCCTTTTACACTAGATGATGGATATGTCAGGGGAACTGATGATGGAGTTGTCAGGCTTGCTTCATTTTGTCAAGCTACACACAGCATCCCTCACCTGCTTTCGGCACAGCCACAGCACCCCGTTTTGAGGACTCCTCTTTGTGTTCTTTCCCTCGCCTATCAGAGGCACTTAGAGGAAACAATTATCTGGCAGATTCTCAGGAAGAATATCCTCTTGTTTAAATCATATTATAGAGGAGGTTTAATTGCTGCATGTGGCAACATTCCTGGAGAGACAAATCACTGCTCCTGGTAGCATCGGACTGATTTCCCCAAGAGAGGCAGGGGCATTCCTCATCCTTTCTGCCCAGCTGCGTTCCAGAGATTTCAACATTTGGGTCACGCCTAAAGAATGACAGCCTAAACCTCTCCTCCCTGCTCCCTCCTGCCCACGCACGTGCTCTGCTGTTTCTAATAACAGAGAGTTTCCACCTAAAACAGGCAGTGGCAGTCACATGTCTGTCTGGCTTTCAAGCTGGCTTGTCACTGCGTTGCTAATAAAAAACGCATATGGCCAAGTGCAGAAGCCTTTAACTCCTGTAAATTGTTCAGGTTTATAACTGGGCAGGAAGCATCCTTTCTAAAGAAAGAACATCTCATCTAAAATTAGGCTAGCTTTAAAAAAAATAAATCAAAAAAAAAACAAAAAACCACCCACAACTTTCTTTTCATAACATTTTGCAAAATCAGCTGGATTGTAGCCCAAAGAAGAGGGAAGCATTTTTTGAAGAACCAATTGGACTTCTCACATTATGGCCATGCATTCAGGCTCAGGTTCTCAGCAGTTTCACTGCAATGAACCTGGTCCTGTAGTTGATGTCTTCTCCTCCTCTGCTTGTTAGGCACTGGACCTGGCCTGATGTCATTTATGTTTTCAGAGCAGATTTCTAGTTTAAGGATATAGCCCCAAAGGACTAATATATTAAGAATTAATATATATCATCATCAGTATGCAGGAGCTCAGAGTGGAAGTGGCATATTAGCTTAGGGATATGGTTTAGTGAGGACTGTTAGTGTTAGGTCAGAGGTTGGACTCGATGATCTTGAGGTGTCTTCCAACCTAGAAATTCTGTGATTCTGTGATATCTGTAGCCAACGAGAGGGAGAATAATATATATAAAGCTGGACTATGTTTGAAATCCAGACCCCAGTGTTTTGGAAGTGACAAAAGAACCACAACCAAATAGCCTGATGAATTAATTTCTCCTGGATTTACATAAATACTAACTCTGGACCCAAACTACAACCTTGGATACAAACTCCCCAATATCTAGAAAAGTCCCCTCTACTCCTTTTTACTATAGTCCTGAGCTCTACCAGGTGTTATGGAGTATTTTGCAGCTGCTGTATGGCTGTGCTCTACCCAGTGGCTGCAGCAGCTGAACAAGGTCGTAAGCATAATCACAACTTCACGTGGTATCCCTGCCACTTCAGTATCCTTCTTGGAGGTCTGATCTCTAACTGTGAGGACATGCCACATTGAACAAGGTGAATTCCTGAAATACTAATGAGAACAAGCGTCAGAGAAAAGCTGATGCAGTTTTTTTTTTCTTTATGCAGTGACTAACCAGGCGTTTTTTCAGATTTTTCACTTTTAAGATTCATTTAAGGAGCAAAACGCTGGCTTTTCTCTCAACATTTTTTCCTCCTTTCTTTTAAGACAGTGTGCGTGTTTGTCACAGAGAAAGGCTAGGAGCTGAAATGCGAAGAAACATTTGCTGGCAGAAATAAAAGCAGTAGGGAGGCTACTATAAGTAGATAACGTACTATAAGTAGATACATACTATAAGTAGATACACATCCAAGTTAGCATGAAAACCCATGGCTAGAAAGAGCAAGTTGGCACAGGCAGAGCCCATAGAATCCTGTACAGAAAACTCCTTTATGTGGTGACAACAAAAATACTGAAAGAGGCCAGAAACTACAGTCATTCAGTAGAAATAGCAAACCGTGTCTTCAGGGATTGCCTTTCTTCAAATTTTGACAGTGTCTAGTGCCCCATGAATGCTGTCACTGTGTAATTAATAGAGTACACATCCACATAGTGTAGGTTTGGAGTGTAAATGGAAGCAGACAGAGGCAGAAAGCAGCTACAGTTCTGGTGGACACTGGAGGCACACAAATTGTAAAGGTTTCTGGCAGTGTGTTGATAAAATTTGAATGTATAAAGAACAATCAAAAGGCTGTAATTTGAGTGAAAATGTAAATTATTTATAATATATTGTGGAAACAAGCATATAGAAAAGGACATTTTCATTTGTCCTACTGTCAAATTATGCAATAAAGAAATAACTCATGTGACAAGAAAAGAACATGGGGGAGATTATTCATCAAGTAAATGAAGAGTGAATCTCCCTTCCTCCAAGATCTAAGTAATAGGCTCTCACAGGAGAGAATCAGTCCAAAATTTAAGGATTTAAGGCTAATTTTAGAGTGTATAGGAGGTGGTGGTTACAGAAAACAACAATGCATCATGCATAGCAAAAATAAATAAATAAATAAATAATCAAAGTAACGGACCCAAATAAATACTGTATCAGAGAGTAATTCCATAAATGCACTCGGTTTCGTGGATGAAAATAGCTGGCAATAAATTTAACTAAAGGAAATCATCAGAAGTAACATGACTGCAATGATATTGGGAAGTTCACATTTATTCTGTTAAATAATGGAATTTGACAATTTACATCAATGCACCACTTCTCTGTAGAAAAATGAGAAAAAAGTCCTCCAGCACTTTGTCTCTGATACCTGCACGTTTCTGCTCTATAACACTGTTTAACACTTCCTAAAAATAAAAGTTATATAAAAAGTCATTATCAAACTTGTTCATTAATCTAAAATTGTTTAAAGTTGTTACATATTTAGGCAGATCTCTAGATTAGCTCTGTTTATAGAAACTTCAATAAAGCATGTATATATCTTAATTTGTGTTTTGTAAGTATGAACACCTGCTTAGAAATGACTTCCCTTTATGCACGCCTTTTAATTAGTTCTGCAGCTGCAAGTATACAAATTTTGGTACTTTCACCTGCAAAACCATTTTTTTGTTGATTTAGCTTCTGGCAACCATTTGGCTTTTGGCAAGCACATTGGGGTTGTTGGTTTATGCTCCACAATAAATCAGCAAAAAATAATTGAGCTGCTTGCACAGTGTAGAGTCACAGCACAGAGAAATTCACCGAGCGTACAAACCTCATGGAGTTTTTTTACTAAGATGCATTTCCATCCATACAAATAGCTAAATATTTGTCTCTCTCCCTCTATATCAATATAAACTCTGCTTTAATAAGTGATTATTTTTTCTCTAGATAGCATTTTCATGAGCATAGTACCTGATTACCCGTGTTTTGGCTGAGCATCCTGAGCTGGCTGATAGTCCAGAACATCACTGGGAAGAGTACGTAGCCCCATTTGCAGCCATTCTCTTGTTCTGAGCAGCTTCACATAAAGAAATTATCTGGAGTGATCAGGCCACATGCTGAGAGTTTATTTCTGGCTACTCGAATATCCACATTTATTAGTCATAATACTACTATTAGCTCTGAGAGCTGACCATTTTGGCCAGAAATCTGTCCTGAATGAAAGCTTGTTTTTGGCACTAACTTTCCCACACTTCTTAGCAGAAACTTCTGAGAGCTCAGGACCCCTCTCCCTCGCAGACAGACACCAGCTTCTTAAAGCAAGAAAGAACTTGAAGGTGGAAAGTTGCAGACTATTCTCCCAGTCTTGTGAAATCCTGCCATTTCCCACGTGAACGTCATGAGTAAAGCATATTTCTGTGTAAAAGGGATGCTATTTAACAGATGAGCAAAGTACTCTGCTAAGAAGTTTGGCTCCAGTAGGTTGGGAGAACAGGCATACCTAATAATCAAGCAGACCAGGCTGTGGTAATGTGGCTTTGCTGGGAGACATCAGATCTGCAGATGGTAACAAGTTTGGGAATGTGAAAGCAAAGAATAACAAGGTAAACAGGGAATATGCTTTTGAATCCTTCAGTTCTTTGTTAAATATTTCTGTTTAAATGTCAATATAGCTAACGCGATACAACCTTCTCATTGCACCACCTGCAAGGTAATCACTATAGGTATGTCTACTACTGTTTTTTCCTTTTCCTCTTCTTTTGATTTATCTCTGAAAGAGGAAGCAAATAGTCCACTATGGAATCCCAGCTAGCCTGCAGTGCTTGCTAAAGTCCTGTGTTTCAGACTTGACAGATCTATATTTATTGCCAAAGCTCATCTTTCAAGGAGTGCTGAAAGAGAAGCAGCAAATTGTATGAAGTATGGAACAAATGGTTAGCTGAGTTAATTTTAAAAAACATAAACACAAACCAAGCCCACACCCCTACACACCATGATTCACTCCAAGCAAAAAAGTGTGCTGGCAGAAGTTGTCTTATAAAACATACAGCTTCTGCTCCTTTGTTTCCACTGCATATGATAAATCCCCAGTTTGAAAACCA